GGCGGGCTCAGTGAACACGGGCAGCAGCTCCTGGGGACCCCAATTCAACGCACCGCCCTATCCTGGGCAGCCCCACGACGTGGATACATATTCCTCCGGGACATCTCTGTCGTAATGCTTTACCAGTATGCTGGAGTCCTCAGCAACGGGCTCTCCTACCACCAGCTGGAATACCGCAACCGGTCTAAACTAGCTCCTGCTGACAAACTGTGTGCCCTCCGCGCCCTTGGGGCCACCGATGCCATTGTCCAGAGCTACTCACGTATGTCCGGAGCCCACGGGCCACGGGACCATTGGGCGGCCATTGGGTGTGTAAACTGGCCCACAGAGGGCAACTACCGCTTCCGACTAGTCTTCCCCAGCCAAACCATGACCGAAACAGTCTATGCCAACTACCGCCTGCATGCTGCTGGAATAAACCGCCTGGACCAGGTTCCTCCTCGATGAAGCTACACCCACTGCGTGACCTCACCTGGGACAACCCCTCATCCACTTTCTTCCACCCCTTGCCCCTCAGTGCAACGAAACTTGTGGCCACCAAAGTTCGTATCCGCCCCCTACCTACACTTACCACTCCTGCGGACATCCTGGAGGCACTACACGGCTCCCAGCTTCCCTCACCTGATGTGGACATTATCGACGACTACGCAACCCTTACGTTTGACTCCCCCTCACCGGCAGCCTTCCTCTGGAACGCCTCAGGCCCACATGGGACCACCCGTCTCTACGTACGAAATATAGCCGTCCAGCTCCACGTACTCATGGGACGCACACGTACCACGGCGGTGGCACTGCAATGTCCGTACTGTGGCCGCCTGGATCACCAGGGCAAACCATGCGATCGCTTCACCTACCTTGACCCCCGCGATCGTGCTCGCAGCAAATCGCGACATAAATCCACTCCCCGTGGCCCCAAGAGTCCGGGAGCACGTTCGCGCAGTCAGAGTATGCACACTCGTGCAGGCCGATCGGTCTCTCAACACTCCACCACGGTCAGCCACACCCCCCAATCCTGGCAATACCCCCCTCAACAACAACCGTTGCACGCATCAGCCCCGACTACGGACCTCGTCCCACACCTCCGACGGGAACTCTTCACATACGTGGACCACCGTATCGTCCAGGCCACAGCCCCACTCCAGCAGGAAGTCGATACCCTCCGCGGGGATAAGGAGGCCCTCACAGCCTTAGTATCTGCCACCAATACAGCGTTCACCACCCTCGATGCACGACTCCTTGAAGAACGCCGCCTCCGAGAGGCTGCGGAACACCAACAATCCGAGGACAAACGCAAATTGACGGAGGCGCAAGACCGCCTGCAAACCACCATCACTCAACAGGGCACCCACCAAGAGGCAATGGCTGAAAGCCTCCCCATCATCGAATCCAGTCTACGCACACTTATGCAGGCCATGCAGAGCGTCTCCTCACAACTCGCTGGCCTCGCCGCCCTCGGCACCCCTGCGACCAGACTACCAGCCGCGTACCCCGCCCAGCCTACGCTGACGCCCTCTTCCCCCGCCCCAGATGGTCCCGTTCCACTGAACCAGCCAGCCGGACACGATGACTCCATGGGGACAGACCCAAACGACACTATGGGGTCAAACTAACCCCGGGGTGTCGGGTCAGACCAACGACACCCCGGCAACGCCCCTGGTCTGTACTCTGGTGGTTCATGAGCTTCCTGCTATGGTCCACTTGCTCCGTACCCATGGCCGCTGCCACCCAACCGGACTCCAATTTTCTCTCTGCACACCAACTGGCACACTCAGTGCAACCCCTACATGCTGCGTATCCTTTCGACCACCTACGTGACCCGCCCTCCTTAGACGACTCCAATAACTCCGAACAACTCGACCACCGCATCGTGGACGACCTACACTAGCCCCCCACGACCTCCCCCCCACAACTCCCACGCCCGGGCGGCGCCGCCGCCGCCGCTCCTGGCGGATCCAGCGTCTCCCCCGGACATGCACACAGCTCGCATCCAACGGGACAACGTCCTCTGGAGGGAAGCCCTG